ATTTCACTTCAGTTTGTAACATTCTGTCCACACAGTCTTTGACAGCAGTTGTCATTAATGTTATTATATTTAACTGTTCATTTTTCTTCTCTTGCTTCTCAAATGTTAGTATTTGCCTAAAAATATTGATAGACATGTCCATAACAACTCTCGAGAGGTAGAATCAAAGTGCTTCCTGGCACTCTCTAGTGAGAAGAAATTATAAATCCCTTGGGGCATGTTAAAGGATGAGTATTGGAACACAAAGAATTACAGTATAACATATTTATAACTCATTGTTTCTTGGGACAGAGGAAAGCTCAAATGTATCATGTGATAAATACACATTTGTATGCTTCAGTGTGCTTGGGTGTGAGAGAGAAGGGGGAGAGAGAGGAGAGAGAGAGAGCGATGGAGGGAGAGAGAGAAAAAGAGAGGGAAAGAGAGAAAAAGAGAGGGGGAGAGAGAGAGGACTGTTTTTTCTCTCTCTCTTTCTCTCTCTCTAGGGCATTTCTAGGAGAGATGTGATGCTGTCTCACGAGAAACACAATTTTCTTGATATCAGACATTTTCCCTTATTACAGTGGCTTCTTAGTGCAGAAGTCTTAGAAATGAAAATGGGGAAGTTTTATGTTATCTGAATTTTGGAATGTTATAAGTGAGGTGCAGATAAAATCAAGGATTAACTCACCAGAAACATTAGCCATCTACTACTCCCTTTCAAATGTTATGGTTAAAGGTATGTTTATAGTGAAATATTAAAAGTAGAGAGCTTTGGAAGACAGTAAGTTAAAGTATAAAAATGGATAGCTGACATTTTGAAGCATTTTTCAGCTATTGTCATTATTTTAATAGTTACTGTCTCCTACTATGAAGAATGTATCAGTTTACTCAGACTTCCAGTGCCCTGTCAGAGAATAGCTATGAGTTGTTCTAAAGTAATAGATACGAATATATCTCTACTTTTATTGTTTGGGAAAGAGGTTGCCTACCTTATCTAGTACGTGATAACCCACTCAATTGACAAACTAATTTCTCTTGGGCTATGTTAATTACTCAGCTAAACATTAGGTTCCTGATGAAGTGACTGTGAGGAAAATGTGCAAAATAATGGGAAATCATCCCAATAATCTTACCATGACCTATAAACATAAATTGTATGTCATATGAAAATATTTTCAAAATAATAATTACACAACAATGATTAACAGTTCTTGAGTGTTTCTTAATACCTAGACCTGTAGTACTGTTTTAGATACAATATTTAGCAGTATATCAGGTTTCCTTCAGCTTCCAGGAAACAAATATTTCATAACAAAAACACATTGAATAAGGAACCAAGTTAATCAATGAACATTTCCAATTATGTGACACCAACATAAAATGAATCAACGTAGTCAATTGTTTCCAAAGCGGAACTATGTAAAATTAACTTGTTTTGGATCATGAATCTGTGTACAGATGAATGTGAAACCAAATCATTGAGATAGTAAAGTAAACTCATCTCCCTCCTCTATCTCCTGAATTCATCTAACTACCACTGATTACAGTATATTTAAATTATATCATATTTACCTACATTAATGACTTTCTTCTAACTTAATATAGTTTTTAAACAGATGGATCAAAATAATATGCAGTATCCTATGAGTGCATTAACTTGAGTCTTTAAAGGAAGAAGGTTTTGCATTTTAATTGAGTTTACTTACTTTTTATTCATTTGCTTTTGCAATGTTTCCATTTTAAAATCAAGATAGGAAGGGCTTGTTTCCTACCTTTATAAGGAAATAATAAATCAGAAACTTTATGTCTAGAAAATGTATCAGATAAGAGAAGTGTTTCCCATGGCACATTGTTCTGTTTCCTGACAATGTTTCTTTCTGAGGAGCCTTGACTCCTTCTGTGAGCATAATACTCTCCTTCCACAGATAATGATGAAAGTATATTGTTCTTTGTATGTATAGAAAGCTGAATCCTACTACATTGATCTCAGCATCCTCAAACTAAAGTCAAGAAATAAAGAGTCCTAAAAACAACAGATACTGTAGTAAGTTAGATTTTGCTGTTTCAGGATCATTTCAAGTGACAGAGAACTAGGGAAAGAAAATTTTGCTGCATTTACTTGTATTTTCACTTCTTATGAATCCTATAATTTGGTCTATATGATTTAGCATTTTTTCTAGACAGAATATCATCTTTGTTAGTTAAAATGTTTAAAGTACTTGTACATATTCACTACCTCTGTACTCTACTTTTTTCAGTTGTCATCTCTGACCTTTGGGAATTTTTGAAATGTATTTATTACACGATACATGTTTGTACTCATCCTGTTATTAATAGCAGTCAGTCTTTGTTTGTGTCCTACTCACCAGACGTTTTCTCTCTTTCCCAACATATTTGACCCTGAACCCATCACAGATATTTGTATGTGCTACCTACAGTCCAAATGGGTTATGGGCATTTATAGAAGGGTATCTTTGTGGTGTTAATTAAGAAATGTTTCAACATTTTTTTTTCCGCTGGACTGTCTACCTTGGTCCTATCAGTGTTGCTGAAGAAACTGTAGATCCTCCTAAAGGTAGGAATATATAACAGATTAGATATTTACCTATATATTTAACTAACAAATGACATAACAAACCTTATATAACGAAAGCTTTCTATGTAGATGCATAAACTATTACTGAAGAGTCGGGAGATTAAAGAAATCATTTGTTTTAAAATATAAGTAAGCCATTGTTCAGTTTTCTTTGGCTTAGCATTAAGTAAATTGTGTTATTACATGAAAAATATAGACATTTAAATTAATTACTTTGTAAGGGAAATGCTTATAAAAATTTCACTTATTAAAATAAGTGCAAATGCATTCTAATAGATAACTCAATGTGCACTCAGTTTCAGAATTGCTGTGTGTATTGAGGGTCCATGTAATCATGCACTACTTCATATTTAACAGAGTTTCATGTCAGTCCACTTCCTCTCTATAGTTAACTTTTGGGAGTTTTTTCATAGATGAGTGGACATCCAATTTCATAGATTAAAATGATACAATATACAACTATTTTAACCCAGAACATAAGTTTCAGGTTACATTTTTATGAACATATATGTGCATGGATGGATGAGCTTCATTTACGTAGGTATGCATTTTTTTTCTTTTCCTCTCTATGTGGTAGCAGATGAGTAGGAAAATCAAATCATAAAATGATATTAAGTTGGTGAATATGAGGAAGATTAGGGATTGTGACACAAAATTTCCCAAGCGGATACCTCTGTGCGTGTGCTGATGTGGCTAATACTCATTGAACACCTAATCAATTTTCTAAGTGCTTTCCAGAATTAACTCAATGCCTATAGCAAGTTTATTGGAAATATATTATCATCATCTCCTTTAATAAGTGAGCAAGTTGAGTAACAAAGTTTGGGCAAGTATTAGCTCTGTTATAGTATTACTTGTCTATACTAAAGTTAAAACCCACAGGGAATTTTTGAGTGTATTCTTTTTTATTATTGTGTATTAATTGTATAAATTAAGGTGTTTTATTATGACATTTCCATTCATGCATGTAGTGTACTTTGATAATATCTTCTTTATATGGAAATTAGTATGGAGGTTCCTAAAAAATTAAAATTAGAAATTCTATACAAGCCATTCATAACCACTTCTTTAGTATACCCATAAAAGTATACAATTATTCATCTAGAATTGATCATTTTAAGATTGAGAGAAAATTAACTGTCTAATTTGAGATATTGAGAGAAATGAAATTTAGGTTCAGAAACTATAATGTGCAACAGTGGGCAGAATATATAGGTACCCAGAGTAAAATTAAGCTTTAGAACTTTTTTGTTGTTGTTGCATGAGAACTTATTGATTGGCAAGTATGGCAGACACAGTGGTAAGCAAATTAAATAAGTGAATAAAATCCTACATCTTGTATCTATGTTGAGGCTACTATCAGGAAGAACATAGATAATCATTACTAGATTGATGTGAGTGCTATCATGATGGCTTTAGGGAGTTGGGAATACAGAAGAGAGGGGTTGTAAATGACTAATGAAGAGACAAGGGAGGGCAGGATTCAGGAAGAGTTTTCAGAAAGGAGACAAGTTGATGATTGAACATAATAAGAAAGTTCACTAGGTAAATAAACACAGGAGCATATGTCAAGTCCCCATGAGAAAATGAGTGCAAAGAAAATGAAGTATGTGTAAATAAGGCGCATAATAAAAAATGCTCAGATTCTTATATGAAGATGAGGTCCATGTGGAGAAAGGGTAAGATGAAAGTTTCTAACAATTGTCACTGAAATGATTCACCAGTTTTCATGAATTATACTAGGATTCTTTCAGCAGTCCGTCAGAGATATGATGTGTATGGATGTGATTCAGTCTTGGCATGGCTGCCTCTTCTTGTCTTTCACTTCGCAGCTCCTGCCTCACATTCGCAAGAATCTTGATGACCACTTTATCAGGATTGGTCTGTCATCAGAATATACTATTGTTATAACTCTATTCACTTTAGATATTATTTATTTATTAAATGGTTAACTTCCATTTTCCTTCAATATACTAGAAATATCATTTTGAGAGATGGTTTGTGTTCATTGCTGATTCTTAGTTCCTAGAACAATAAAGTACAAAACATCTGGGCTCAATACTCATTGAATAAATGGTAGAAGAAAACAAGTCTGTTGCTGCAGAAATAGAGAGAATGAATATGTATGAAAGACCTTTGCTTGGCAGTATTTGATAACAAATGAAAGGGAGAAATGGAATAAGAACTGAGTGTCAATGAACATTTTTCAATTTCATTTGTGGACAGTAAGTACAACTTGAAAAAATCAACTGAATTCCTGAACATAGAAGAGGATTTATGTGGCAAATAAATTGATTGGTAGTTTATGAGGTTTAGATTTGGAGATAAGAAATTTCTCTCTAGGACTTAACTAACGTTCAATATCATTATTTATTGCCCTCATCTGAAAGAATCTTGATGACTTTGCTCTTCTCTTTTGTAGATGAGCCTAAATTGTTCCTTGTGGAAGGAAAACAGCTTGTCTATAAAACATTTTGCATTTGCCAAGTTCTCTGAGGTCACTGAGCAGTGTTTTCTTCTATTTACCCTCATCCTACTCATGTTCTCAGTATCATTGACTGGCAATGCTCTCATAGCCTTTGCCATCTGGACCAACCCAGTGCTCCATACCCCCATGTACTTCTTCTTGGCCAACTTGTCTCTCCTAGAGATTGGCTACACTTGCTCCGTCATACCCAAGATGCTGCAGAGTCTTGTGAGTGAAGCCCAAGGGATCTCTAGGGAGGGTTGTGCCACACAGATGTTTTTCTTTACATTCTTTGGTATCAGTGAGTGCTGTCTTTTGGCAGCCATGGCTTTTGACCGCTACATGGCCATATGCTTCCCACTCCACTATGCAACACGAATGAGTCGTGGGATGTGTGCCCAATTAGCAATGGTTTCTTGGGGGGTGGGATGTACAGTAGGTTTGGGCCAGACTAATTATATTTTCTCCTTGGACTTCTGTGGCCCCTGTGAGATAGACCACTTCTTCTGTGACCTCCCACCTATCCTCAAGCTTGCCTGTGGCGATACATCCCATAATGAGGCTGCCGTCTTTGTAGCAGCAATCCTTTGCATTTCTAGCCCATTTTTGCTGATCATTGCTTCCTATGGCAGAATTCTAGTTGCAGTGCTGGTCATGCCGTCACCTGAGGGTCGCCATAAAGCTCTATCCACTTGTTCTTCCCACCTACTTATAGTAACACTCTTCTATGGCTCTGGATCTGTCACCTACTTGAGACCCAAAGCTAGCCACTCACCAGGATCTGACAAACTCTTAGCCCTCTTCTATACAGTGGTGACATCCATGCTCAACCCCATCATCTATAGTTTACGAAACAAGGAAGTCAAAGCAGCTCTCCAGAGAAGTCTGTGCAAGAAGGAGGCTTTGACCAATGGATAGGTAACAGAGAACCATGCACATCTGGTCTTGGAAAATATGGGAAATCAGATTAAAAACAAATAAAAACCTGTACATTCTTCCATCTATCTTGTAAGGAACTTCTTTAATAACTGTTATTGCATTTTGAAATCATCTCTGGACTCACAGCTATATTCTACTTGCAAATTCCTGAAGTAAGAATTTTAGTAGACAGATTTTCCAAAATATTTTATTCTTGGCTGGGATTAAATTATAAATTAACAGGTTATATCTCAGAAGTCTAGTAAATCTCACTCCACATTCTCAGGCATTTTCTAGACCCTGTGTGGCCATCTGACTTCTCCACATGTCTGTCCCACTTGGCTTCTAATTCCTAACAATTCTGTGAAGCACGATACAGCCTTCCATAAAAATGTCAGTTAGAGATGAATCAACTTGGGATGTAACACATTTGTGCATGGAAGCAATACTAAGAATCTCTCTGTATAGCTATCCTTATCTCAACTAGCAAAAAAACTTTGTCTTTCTTATTAATGCTTATACTTTCTTTTCAACAAAATTAGAGACAAGGGCAGAACAGATTCTGCCTGGAAGTGAGGGAGGGTGGGGGGAGAGGGAAGGGGTAGGGAGAAATGGCCCAAACAATGTATGCACATATGAATAAACAAATAAAAAGTAAATAAATAAATAAAATACAACCAAAAAATGTTTTAAATTTCTTCAGCTACAACTTTTGGCACACAATTCAGTAAAAGAATTGTTTTTACAACTTTTACACCCTGAAAAAAGTAAACACTCCAAGAAACATGGTGTCTAGTTTCAGAACTCTGACCAAAAGCATTAAAACAATAGTATGGAAACTTTTGACAAGAATTGATTTGACAAAAATATTTTCAAAGATGAAAAATAATACTAAAACACAAAATGGAAGAAAAACTCACTTCCAATAAATTATACAAAGATTTTAGGTAATTTATAATATTTATATCTTTCAGAATGTCATATTTATACTCTCAAGTGATAATATTGATATTTCCTAGTGAACACTGTGTGTGCGTATTTTGCCAGATATTTCTGTTCTACCAAAAACTTTGCAATTAATTTAAACATAATAGTTTGTGATGTTTATTTCTATGAGAATAGTGATTCACAATGGAATTTATGGAAATATTGAAAAATGACTGGTTCACAAATGTGCTACCAGGAATTATGTATAGAAATTACAGATGATAATTTATGTTTACTTATTTACTAGAAAATGAATGATTAATTGAGCACTAAACAAGTTAAAAACTTTCTATGGTGTGACATATGCACTTTTGATAAGAACTCAATATACAAGTTTAAAAGGCTAAAAGTGAAATAACAGCAATAGTTTCTCTAAGAAGTAATAATTGGTGACATTCTATCTTCTGCTTCTAAGGTTTCTTCAAAATGTACATTAAAAAACTTCCATAAAGTATTCTATTATTGGCATTTTTCTTAAAAAATATACAATGTGTGCTTTTTATAACAATTCCTAAAATATATAAGTGTAAAAATTAAAATTTAACCAGCTATATTCCTTCAGCACAGCAATAACCAAGGTAAATATCTGATTTATGGGTTTCAAATACATGTATATGTATGTATGCTTGTATAAATATATATAAAATATTTATTTATATCACATATATCTACTGAGAGAGCAAAACAGAGAAGGAAATGTCAGAAATGTATGTATATAGGTTACCATATCATGCCTTTCCGATCTCTGTGTGTTAAGAAGATGTAGAAGCCATGACACTATAATGACAAAGGGTATACCTAGTGTTCAAATAATTGGTTTCTAGATATCATCCTATAGTAAAAGTAACCTGAGTTCCTCAGAGAAGGAGTAGATCCTAGGGCTGATGCAAGCAAAAGACAAAATGAGTCTGAAAATTATGTAGTGTTAGAAAGACAGCAAGAGTTGGAGAATAAGCAGAGGATCTTGAAAAGACACAGGAAGTTACATAAAGGAACTCATGCTACACATCTGACAAGGGAATAATACCCACAATATATAGGCAGCTCAAAAACTAAATTCCAAAAAAGCCATGGCCTAATTAAGAAATGAGCAAATGAACTGAACAGAACTTTTTCAAAGAAACAAGTCCAAATTGCCAAAAAATACATAAAGAATTGTTCAACATACCTGACCACAAGGGAAATGCAAATCAAAACCATATTTAGATTCTACATCACTCTTGTTAGAGTGACTATCATCAAAAATGCAAACAAGAACAAATGTTGGAGAGAATGTGTAGAAAAAGGGACCCTTCCACACTTTGGTGGGAATGTAAACTACCCACCATGAAAAACAGTATGGAGGTTCCTCAAAAGCTAAACATAGAACTACTATATGGTCCAGCAATTCCACTCCTAGGGATGTAAGAGAAGGAATGTAAGTCAGTTTACAATAAAGACACCTGCACATCCATGTTTATTGCAGCATGAGTCACAATAGACAAGTTATGGAAACAGCTAAGATGCCCCACAACTGATGAATGGATTAAGACAATGTGGTATTTATATACAATGGAATTTTATTCAGCTACAGGAAGAATGAAATTTTATCATTTTCTGGTAAATTGATGAAACAGGAGAACGCCATCTTAAGTAAAGTTAGCCAGGTTCAAAAAGCCAAAGGCATGCATACAAATACATACAGAACATGTACTCAAAAGCGGGACTGGTAGTGTACCAGGAAGGAGGGCCAGAAGAGAAACAGACAGGTTGCATTCTGATGAGGCGGGGGAAGGGATGGCAAAGAAGAGAGATAAAACTTGAAGAATTGAGACATGAAGGTCACATAACACTAGAGAGATGAAATAGCCAATAAAGTCACATGCAGCCATATATGGGTTGAGCTTTGCTTTTTGCTTCTGTAACCTGCTTGCAAATGTATATAAGGTGAGACCTGTTTGTTCTCAGGGCTCAGACTTTGGGCACAAGTCCTCTGGGTCTGTTTAAGCTCAGTAAACTACATTGCTTCCTGCTAAACTGCCTCAGTGTCCTGTATCTCAGCTTGAGATTTCCTCAACAGTAGAGGAAATCAAAGGAGGAAGAAAAGAAGGAAAGAAATATTATGAATAATAATGAAATACATCACATCTGTGTAGGAACAAGATACACACAAATAAAACCACACTGAAAATGTTTAAACAACACAAGATGGAGGGAAGTTAAATTGACTTAAGTACAATGCATGTACAGATATAATACCAAGGCAAAAATACCAATGAACAACTAGTAGATACCTAAACAACAAAGGGTAAGACCGCAAAGCAGATTATGCTAAGGGGAGGACACTCATGAAAGGAGGAGGGTAAAAGAAGGAAGTAAAGATGATTTATATGGTTGATGTACTTTCTATACAAGAACAAATATAGAATAGTTAAACCTGTTGAAATCACTATAAGAAGGGGACTGAGGTAAAAAGGAGAAAAATGGAGGGGATTAACCAATTCAGGATATAAGACATATGTACATAATGAAACTCTCTGTATTGTTATCTTAAACAAAGATGTCTTTTTTCAAAAATGAAGAACAGAAAGGTAAAACAGGTCCTATGTGGTACTAGTGAGAAGCAGAAGGATACAAGGAAAGGCTGCAAGAGGGAAATATGGTAGAAATATTATGTACTCAAGCATGAAAATGGAAAAATGAAACCTGTTGAAGCTATTTTAAGAAGGGGGATAAAAGAAAATGGTGAAGGGAGTGAATTCAACTAAAATATATTGTAAGCACTTTTGTAAATGTCATAATTTACCCCCAATACAACAATAAAAAAAGGAAAACAAAAGAGTAACAACACCATAATAATTTTTGTAGGCAATATTTATAAACAGAGGTTAAAATCTTTTGGTGCTTCTTTTCCCTTTATTGTTGTGATGAGGGGGGTACATTGTGGTATTTACACAGATTCTTTACAATGCAGCAAATATATCATACATGAATTCACCTCCTCTCCCATTCTCCTTCATCCTCCCTCCCCTGAATCCTGTAGTGTTTTAACAGGTATAATTTTTGCATTTACATACATGCATACACAGTTTTTGCACCTTTCTACTCCCTTTCCCCAACATTTCCCCGCTCCCACTGGTTCCAAGCCTCCCCTCCAACCACCAGCCGCAGGACTTGTTCTGCCCTCCTGTTCTTCAATGTTGTAGAAGAAAAAAGAGAAAAGAGAAAACGAACATCATGACATTTTAGCTTGTTTGAGATAAAGGTAGCTTTATATGTATTATAACCCCAACTGGTTTTATGACAAGACACAGAACATTTCTAGTTTCAAAACACATCTCTCATGTTATTCATCAGCTGCAAGGGGATAACTATCAATATTACAGTAGAGACCTGTAGCCAAGTGATTAAAGATAACACATACTCTCCTTTATGATGAACTAAGAAGGACACAACATAGCTTCTGTAGTGTTTGGGCTAAAAATGCAAAACCTCAACCTAATAAAGACAAAGCATTAAACAAACTCAAATTAGCATTTCTCTACAAACTGTGTAAAGCTCATTAAAGATAAGAAAAAAATGAACTAATGGATTAGGAATAGACTAAGAGATATAACAACTAAATGCAAATTGGAATCCTGGATTGGTTCCTGAAATGGAAGAAGGACAGTAGTGGAAAAATTGTCAAAATTCTAATTAGGTTTGTGGTTCATGTAACTTGTGGTATTAAACCTGTGCCAATTTTCTGGTTTTGAGCATTACTACTATGGTTGTACAGAATGTTACCAATTGGGAAGCTGAGTAACTGGTGTATGGAAAAATCTCTTTCATTTCTGTGCCTTTACTGTAAGTTTGAATTAAGTTTGAATTAATTTCTGAAATAATAAATTTAAAACAGCATAGAAACCTTAAGTGGCATGCCTAAAAGAATACTATGTATGTTTATTACCTGAAAAGATGTACAAGGTAGGCCTCCACTTTATTATAGCATTTGGTTTCTTAATATTGGTGTAAGTAACAAGTTTTTTCCTTTT